TCGAAAGATACGACACATGGATATTACAGGACCAGTCAACTGTACTAACTGTCTTACTGGTTAGTAATATAACTTGATGATTATCTACATCTTATTTAAATATTATATATACATGGATATTACAGAACCAGTCAACTGTACTAATTTTCTGGTCAATAGTATCATTGCATGCATCTTATATACACTATTATTTAAAACAAACATTTTATTAACATGGAGGGCGCGCATTAATGCAGAAACACCCACTGCAGCTAATTATGAAGTCGTTGCCTTGGTGATTCAACTGTATATTTTGACCAAACCTAAGGAGTTAAGACACAATATATTCTTTTAACACCCAGAACTGCTCCCACGTCGTTCAAACTTTCTAAACACGTGTTGTTCACTACACGTAAGTTCGTGCAATAAATGAAGTCAGTAATCATGTGCACCATGACAAAATAAGTCCGGCTGGATTTTCACGTGGGGATGGTAATTAACAGAGAATATTCTAGAGACATTTTTAATCCCAACTTTTCCCTGTTAGTTATGGTGCTTAACAAGATTTTACCGGGTCACTCACAGAAGGTTATTAGGGCGTAGCTCTCCAACTATGTTGGTTAGTAGGGCGTATTCGAGAACTATGTTACTTACATCTCTGAAACTACAAACTTACTCCTATTCCGTATTAATGTTAGGTTATTATGAGTTTCATTTTTTTTACTTTCTCTCTCTCTGTCGAGATTACAATTTATGTACTTTTTATCAGTTCTTGGTTCTCCATTGCCTTGTTCTAAAGTTTAAAATTTTCAATTACATATAAGCTTAAGCTACAAGAGCCTAATCCAATCTACTGGGAATGAATCCACTTTAATTCAGTCACTAAATGGTTAGACTTTGCGGATTGATTAATTTGTTATCCCTGTTTTAATCAATTATTTTGATCAATTAATGAAATGTGTGCTGGCGCTTTTATTCTTTTTTTTAATTCTATCAGATACCACCAAGAAAATTGTTATTTTGAGTTGTATTTTACTCAACACAATGAACCTATATTTAAACAGAATTTGAAGAATGTGTAGTACTGATGTCACTCATTTATTATCCTGAATTATTCGGGAGACAGGCTGTTTAAAATATTAAAAATAAACATGAAGCCCAATCTACATTCGATTCAAAATTTGTCACTGACTGAATTATACCAGTTATAGAGAATTCCACCCTCGTCCATCAAAAAGTTGTTCATATGGACTAAAGAACATTGGAACAAATTAATTATTGACAATTTGTGTTGTTGTTTTTCTCCAATATATTATCAAATTTTATTCTTAAAAATCTGTGAATCTTTTGTGAGTTCCAAAAGAATCCGTTCTAAATTTCACAACAAAGCAACAGCGAGGCAGATTGAGATGTGGTAAGCCATTTTGTAACGCAAGTCGTTCTAGCCCAATTGACATCTTCCCCTCCGAATGGCTCAGCGGTAAACTTGAGAGGTTACACGTTAAAATTTGTGTTTCGATACTCGTGGTGGGCACAGTGCAGGTACCCCAAACACAAACAAGCAAATTTTACCTGCTTTCTATTGCATAAATATTAGTGAATATTTCTTTATTAAAATCATGAAATGAAATAAATGAAAATGGTATTTTAACATTTTGGGAATAATGAAAATATTTTCCAAAGAAATATCCTTTGGTTTATAAGGAACAGTCTTTTAAATGTAAGACATTTAAAGACTGCATTTGAGGAATTTAATATAGGGGCTTTTATCGATAAATCAACTTTACACCCCGTCACTATTTCTTATACTGATGTCAGAGTGTCTGAATTATCCTCACAAACCGTTAAAAAGGAAATTACCACTCACTTTAAATCTACATACATCTACATTAGGCAGGCGCGCACGAGAAAAAAAAACAACTAGATAAGGTAGAAATCGATAAAAAAAAAGTAAGAAACTGCCAGATTGATGCTATCTAACCTTACATAAGACACGGAGAAGAAAACAATACTCTGGTGTGCGCGCGCGCATACAAGTATTATGGGTTTACAGATTCTCAGGAACAGTGAAATCAATCACTACATCCGGAGGCTTCTTTTAATTTAAGCGTAACTTCCTTCGGATTGCTTGTCAAATGCAGGCCAAAGAGCTAATGTTAAATGATGAAGATTTGTGGAAGCTGTGCAGCTACACGGAAACCAGGAGCATAATAAGAGCTTACAATGTCATGGAGAATTGAAGCAGCTAAATACGTTCTCTAATTTGTTTTAATAGGAAAGATGAAGGTCAAAAAATATTTATATATCGGTCTCCATGTGATAAAAATAACCCTTCTATCCTACATCTTGTTTCTGTAAAAAAAATGAGAAAACAATTGTAAAAAACAAAATAAAATGGTGAAGGAATAAGAATATCGATAACAATACATATTTCATCATATAATATTTAAAAAAAACGATAAACCTATTTAAATTCTTACAAAACATTAACATTTACAACAAAAGTAAACAGGAGTGTTTGTAAAGTGCGTGCAATTAAATGAAACGAAGCAAAAATATACAAAATAAATGGAAATAACGATGAAGTGAAAAGTACATAACTTCAGCTACATAGGAGAGTAGGCATATAAGCTGAAAGAAAAAATCAATGAATATCTAAAGTGGAACGAACACGCCCTTGAGGCGTCACAGCTGTCTTAATAAGCCTAATTGAAAGTAACCAAGGGTCACGCATCGAAACGTAATTACCTAGGCTTAATTAATATGGATTTTTGTTTAGTAGAAGAGCCTCGCCTCCGAGAAAACTGACACATTTAAACGTGTGTAGTGTTTGTGTAAAAATTCTATCTATCTCTATTCTGTCTATCTATCTGTTAGTTGAAGGAAAGGATAGATGAGCATTAACATGTAAATAATACGTAATAAATAGAAATCAAATACCTGTGAAATGAGCCCAAAGGATCTACCTTATGGTAAACACTAAAAGTAAATCAAAGCAGATTATACTAAAGTCTGTAAAATTGCAGTTCAGGGTATAAACAAATAAAGCGAAAATGTACAATATGTACTTGTCAAAAACGCACGTGCTGAATTTTACACAAATTAACCGTTCTTGACTTTTTAAATAAAGTTTTGGAATTATAAAAAGAAAATAATCATATCATTAATTAGTATGATTACCCAATAACTTCTAACATATTTGACAATAATATTAACAGCAATGTCCTCAGTGAGACTTTAGCAACTCTTTAAAGACAGTGAAATATTTTGGAACACTAAATTAGTATATTTTTACAAGCAATATACAGAAGAAATACATCAGACCACGAATACGACACTTGGATTAATTGTCAATAACGTAATAACCGGGTGCAAGCTGATCCTTTGGCAGAGCTCTGGATTTCAAAGCTGGTGAGTCGGGTTCGTATCTGTGGAATAGGCCTACCACAAAATTTTCCCCGCACTTTAACTTGTGGGTGTATTATAAGTGTAACAGTCAATGCTTTAGTTTGATGACAGTAAGGTGCTGTTGAGTGGCTGCCTTTCCTCTGGTCAGTAGTTCAAAATTAGGAACGGCAACAAATAGCCTTAGTAACTTTGTCATAAATACAAATACAAAACTTAAAAAACCCAAGAAACGTCCTAGTTTTCTTTTTTTTTAAAGTCTAATATTCAAAGCAACCAAACGGACTCCAAGTTACGAGTATGTACAGGAGGCTTAAATTTCAATATTATTTGGAATAATAAATCTGTATTCAAGATTAATAATTAATAACAGTACCTTATAGGATAAAGTATTCCATGAAAGGAACCGCTTTTGTGCAGTTATTTTGGATAAAATATTGAAAATAATACAATGCCTGCATCTATTTTTAGCAATCATTTTCTAAAAAATCAAAAAAAAATATTTTGATTAATATATCTTATTAGATCCAAGCATTTTCATACACACACAAGTATACGCATATAATACATATGTACCAAAATGGAATATTTTATGAAGCACACTTATTTGAAACACTGAAACGCCTCCTACTGTGCACATAATGACTGAAAAGAACTCACACTGAGATGGGTTTTGGGGAGCAGTAGGTGCTCCCATTAGCTTCAAATTCCCAGCTTGCAAAGGAGACTTGATGCGGGACTGTGTAATGGAATATCTGGACGTCCTTGTAAGCTCGGTAGGGGTAAAGCTCCCGTGAGTCTAACACTTGACTTAATGTTGATTCTGTAAAGAAAACATAAATTATTGTAATTCTTATAGATTAAGCTGCTATTGTCCGTCCTCTACTTCTGTGTGAATGAACAACGAAGTGTATAGCAGAAATTATCCAGTAAACAATACCGTTCGTCTGCCTAGGAGCGGGAAAACGTACTTGTTTTAAGTCTTTAGATTGCTAATAAGTTTACCGATATGTACATAAAGTCTCCATCAAGGAACACCACCAAATCAATATCTGCTGCTCTATGTCATTCACCCACAGTCCGCAGAGCACATATTGTATATGTATGCTGTTGAAAACCTGCAACACGGGAAGAATTATTTAATATTACATGGAATGCATATATAGTATGCTCATAATGAAACTATTTCGAAATGTTTAAGACTAAAAGCATCTCATTAAGAAAACTGTCCTTTTTAATTATTCAAGTATAGACAGTACTACGACAAGTGAATTGACAACTTAAGCTAACATAATTCCCCAGTAGGACAGCGGTAGGTTTACGGACTTATAATACTAAAATCCGGGGTTCGATTCCATGCGGTAGACACAGCAGATAGACCACTGTAGCTTTGCTCTAAAACAAACAAATAAATGATCTAACGTAAAAAAAAACATTTTTTTCAATGCCCTATAGTTCTTCAGTACGTCGTAATACGCAGCCGAAACGTAATCCGGATTCTTTATAAGTATTATATTTAGATTAAAGATGTTTTCTCACTTTTCAAAACTCTGACTTATTCACAAATATTGATGTAATTCTTACGAAAAAGAATTCATGTGTACTGAATGATCATTTCTGTTACAATATCAGTGACATATATACGCTTTGCTTTATTAAATACCACTAGCTATGTTTTTAAACACAAAAACGTTACGCTGAAAGTATATATTAGATTTTTAGGTGATACTTTCCTTTTATAAATTTGAAACAACGAGGTAACTGTTGAATATTTACACTTTCAAATGCACTCTTTCGTTTACATAAACACATAATCGTAAAAGAAAAACAGCTAGCAAGTAATTCTCAGATGTACATGAAAAAGTTCCATTAATCCGTTCTTTACTTTTCTGAAATGTAGTCCAATAGTACGGCGATATATTTTTAAAAGGTGCCGTTTACTTATTTACAATAATTATAAAATAATACGTTCCTGAAGCCCTAGAATTAACTATTACAGAAATTAAAAAATACTTCGGGAATAATTATTAGTTCAATGTTAAACGTTGTTAATCAATATTTTTCAATAAGTAAAAACCTCTTCAAATTATCATTTTATGTTTATTTTTTATAAACTATAGAAAAACTAAGAAACTGGTCAAACCCAGCTACTTTATTACATCATGTGTTTTATCAATTTTGTTCATGACTTTCAACATCAATTTTAAACCATTATAATTTTTCTTTGATTTTTCGTGTTCCTATCTGAAATCATGCTGAATCTGAGAAATCTTTAGTTTAAATAAACTCCCACTTCTTTGGTAGCTTTCCAAAGTTCATCAACTGTACATCATGGTGTATGTCCCTATCTCAATTCTTTTAAGGGTTACTGATACATCAAATGTTTTAAAAAGAACGGCGCAAGCAATTACTTAGACAAATCACCAGCAACTTACAGATTTTCATAAAATTAAATGTGTTTGGTTTCCTTTCACGTATATGACCTAAAATAAGCTTATGCATATTTCAGTGTTTGTTTTGTTTTTTCCCTAAAGCAGACATGTTTTATTTTTCTGTATGAGTCATGGATGATTCATTTAAAAGAACACTGCAACAGATAATTTTTCTACAAAATATCACAACATTGTCGGTCAGGGATTACATGTGCTGGTGAAACACGAAAAAACTGGGCTTCCATTATTAGAAAAAATACTTTATGAATTTCTTCTTTATATATATATACATATAGATGCAGGAATGCTGCGCTTTCTTTCACCTATATGTCCTCTCTTTAAATTCTAAAATGAGATTTATAATATTTATAAAACTTTTTATGTGTCTGTATTCCTTTCTTCTTTTTCTCTGTTACTATGAAAGATTAAGAATAAAATTTCTCGATCAGCGCAGTAGAGTGTCTTTCCCACAGTATTCACATGACTAAATCTGTCTTGGTGTACTGCACGGAGTGGAAAGAAGGTCACGGTCTACCAACATCAATCTTTTATGTTTCGTTAGTTTCTTCAGGGTTACCTAAATCGTTAAATCAAGCTATTGCAAATAAAAAGCAATCAACCCCAATATAACTGACGAAGTTATAGAGGGGCGTACGCATAAATCTATAAATGGTGGATGTTGATTTTGGAGTTCCAGTGCAATCAAATAAATTTTCCCCAAAAAGTTTTATTTAGATAAATTAATTATCACATATACGTTTCATACATATATGGGTGCACCTTAGAGAAAGCGACCGTACCTGCCGTATACACCTATCCCCTGTCAATGCGCATGTAATGGTTTATATTGTTCATTTTACACTTTTATCCAATGTGCTCTTAAAAATGAATGTTGAATAATACATCTAGACAGTATTTCAATAAACTCGATAAACGTACCTTTTTTAACGTATCAAACTATATCTGAAATGAAATAATACGTGATAAACTTGGGATGACAGACCTCACATTGAACATTAAGTAACAAAGGAATTCAAACAAAATCACGGTATATCATGCTTTTAACATGGTTGTACATTCGAAGAAGCTATATACAGGGGGCGTGTTTTTAATAGTAGTTTTGCTATTACTTACTTCATCTTCAAACACTTTAGTTGCGACTTCAGTACGGATAATTACCTCTATGTGTTTCTCTCTCTCTCTCTCTCAGTTAGGTTTTATTAAATATCTAATTTCTGATAAAAATTAATATAAATTTATATATAATAAATGGTTTTATCTTTCATAGCAAAAACTGTCAGATAACCGTAATAGTTTCGTCGTACATGCAGTTACAAGACGAGAATAATCATGAAAGGATATAGTAACATACACCACGCACGTCGCTTTAAATCTTCAAATGTTTTAATTAGTCATCACTGTTTATACACTTGTTAACAGCAGAACGACTTTATAACACCCTTCCTTCAAATGATTTAATTAGTATCACCGTTTATACACTTGTTAACAGCTGAACGACTTTATAACACCATTCCTTCAAAAGTTTTAATTAGTCATCACCGTTTATACACTTGTTAACAGCTGAACGACTTTATAACACCATTCCTTCAAATGTTTAATTAGTCATCACCGTTTATACACTTGTTAACAGCAGAACGACTTTATAACACCATTCCTTCAAATGTTTTAATTAGTATCACCGTTTTTACACTTGTTAACAGCAGAACGACTTTATAACACCATACCTTCAAATGTTTCAATCAGTCGTCACCGTTTTTACACTTGTTAACAGCAGAACGACTTTATAACACCATACCTTCAAATGTTTCAATTAGTCGTCACCGTTTATACACTTGTTAACAGCAGAACGACTTTATAACACCATACCTTCAAAAGTTTCAATTAGTCGTCACCGTTTATACACTTG